TATCGCACAGAGGCTTAGAAGCTACGGACCCAGCAAACCAGTGAGGTGTAGTGGCAGGACCATGGGCTGCAGAGCCTTGCACTGATTGACTTCTAAGCTTGGCCCTGCCAGTGACCGACTAGATGACTGCTCTGTGCCTCAGTTTCCCTCATGGGGGATTGTTATCCTTTGTTAATGAAGGATTCCTTAGCTGGGGGGTGCCTGCTAAGTACTGTAGGATCTGGACCTTTTGTATGCCAACCTCTGGATGGGGGTGGTTGGCATACAAAATACCGAGGTCCTACAGTACTTAGCAGGCACCCCCCAGCTAAGGAATCCTTCATTAACAAAGGATAACAATCCCCCATGAGGGAAACTGAGGCACAGAGCAGTCATCTAGTCGGTCACTGGCAGGGCCAAGCTTAGAAGTCAATCAGTGCAAGGCTCTGCAGCCCATGGTCCTGCCACTACACCTCACTGGTTTGCTGGGTCCGTAGCTTCTAGCCATCGGGCCGTGCTGCTGGGGCGAAGGAGCGCTTCCGTCCTGCAGCACAGGGAGCTAAATTTAAATGGGGCTCGGTTTCAGGCCTCCCGCAAAGGCTCCGTGGGGCGCCCCAGGGCTCTGGGGCCATGAGTGGTGGATATTTTTTAAGTGCAACTTTCTTCCTTGAAAAATGTGGCGGGTTTTTTTTTTCTTTTTTAAAATGTTCTCCCCTACAATTGGAAATTTTAGATGAAAAAAAAATCACAATTTTCCCTGGGCCGTGGACAGAGTTTTCAACCAGCCCCAGCAGGGACCCGGGGCCGGCCGCTGTCCCTCTGAGTCCCAAACCATAGCGACCGTATTGTCTTTGCCTTGGTGATGATGGTGGGCTCGGGTCCCACGTCGGGTAGGATCCAGCGCCCGTGTGCCCGCGGCTTGCCCGTGAAGTGGCACGTTAGGTTCACGCTCTCGCCCTGCTGCACCAGCACGTCCTGGTAGTCGATCCAGATCTCTGGCGGGTCTGCCAAGGAGAGGGGAGGAGAACAGGACATTGGCTTTGCTCTGACCCCCAGGCCAGACCCTTGGAGAATCCAGCCGGGGTGTCACTGAGCCTGGTGCCTGCTGGGACAGAGCCCTGCGGGTTCGGCCAGCGCTGTGCTCATGGGGTGCCTTGAATTAACGAACCCCAAAGCACCACACTGGGCTCCAGAGGGAACCCTGGCCCCTGCAGAAACTCGACTCGCTCTCCGTGATCCCAGCAAGTCACTTGATTTCCTCTCGCTTCTGGGACCCCTGACGAGATCAGGGTCCCAGATGGGGAGGGGAAGCGCCATCAGCAGCCAGCTAGCCGGGCAAAAAGGGAGAGCAGGCCGGGTCCTCGGACGGAGTCAGCTGGCACCACACAGGGGCCAGGCTGAGACACGTCCTGGCCGCAATGCCCGTGCCTCTGCTCCCTGGGCATCATGAGGAGACAGCGCACACAGGCATCTCAGCCATGCCAGGAGCCTGGTGGGGGGGATCCGAAGCCAGGCCCTCCCCCACTGTCCTTTGGCTTCCTCTTTCTCTGCTCTCCCTGTCACCCATCCAAGCCAACACCAAACCCACATGGATTCTGCCTGCTGCCTCCCCCAGTACTACCCTATGGGAACACCCCTTTTCCCCCCCATAACGCCCCATGGGAATGCCCCGCTGCGCCCCCCAGTACTGCCCCACCAAAATGCCTTGCTGCCACCCCTGCCCCACACACCTGTGCCCCGGTATTGCCCCGTTGTCTCCAGATTTACCCTGGTGCAAACAAGGTGCAGAATCAGCGTGAGGCACAGCGGACCCCAAGTCCCCATGGGGTGCGCATGGGGCGCAGCCAGTGCACAAGAGGCTGCGTGTTCCCCTGCACATCAGCCTGCCCCGCTCACACGCCCAGCCCCACCCTGCTCCACTTCTCCCGGCAGAGACCTACCGCAGTCCTTGAGGTTTAGATCCTCCAGGGGGATTTCCTCTCTCTCCTGCCAGCAGCTCAGGGACTGGTTCCCCAAGTCGGCCCAGCCATTCCTTTGCCACAGCTGCAGCCAGCGGATCCCACACGAGCACAGGAAGGGGTTCCCCACGAGGACCCTGGGCGGGGGAGAGGGATGGGAGGCAGGTCAGGTGGAACGAGGGAGGGGGATGCTCAGGGCTCTGTGTCAGAGCTGGGGAAAATTTGGGTCCCGCTGGATCTTGGTGAGGCGACAAAGCTCTCACCCCTGGGCCGACCCCATCCCTGGACTCCACGTCCAGGCAGTCTGGGATCGAGAGGGTACAATGGGAACTGAGCTCTTTTGACTCCAGAACAGGCAGAGTCAGCAAAGGACAGGGACCCTCAAAACATTCAGCCAATGGGCCAACGCGGGGCTGTCAAACCCAGGAAGAGAACCCCTGGTCTAGAGCGAGTGGAACAGTTCGAGGGGCAAGAGAGTTCACTTCACCTAACATAGAACCCGCTCGGTCATGGCCTTCTAGAGCAGATCTGAAAACCGGCTCCTAGAACACGAGCCTAGAACTGAACTGGAAAGAGGGTCCTAAAAGAGGTCTAGAACCGATCTAGAAATGGGCTTCTGGAACAGCAGGCTAGGACTGAATTAGGAAAGGGTTTCTAGTTGAGCTCTAGAACAGGCATGGAAACCTGCTCCTAGAACACGAGCCTAGAACTGAACTGGAAAGAGGGTCCTAGAAGAGTTCTGGAGCAGGTTCAGAAGAGCGCAGCTCCCCCGGATTGAAACAGAAACCGGTCTGTGGACTCAGTGTTGGACAGTGTCCCGGCGCAGTCACTAACTCACAGCCATACCCAGATCGCCCGTCCCTAGGCTTGGGAAGGAAGGACGGAACCAGAGCAGTTGTTAGCAGGTGGCACCTGCGTCCACCAGTTCTGGGGTTGGCCCACCCACAACAATGGCCCCCCACCTTTGGGGAGGGGCTCAATGCTCCAGCCGGTGTCAATCCGGAGTGACTCCGGTGCAGTGACCCTGGGGCACCAGGCTCTGAGTGTTGCCCTGGCCGGCGATGGTTTGGGGAAAGGCCCCCGTCCGGGTTTACTTACAGTTCCTGCAGGGCCAGGGGGTAGAACGTCTGCCAGGAGAGCGACTGCAGGTAGTTGGAGGAGAGGTTCCTGCCGGCAGGAAGAGAGACCCCCACTGAGCTAGGGGGCCGGGTCTCCCCGCTGCGACATGGAGAAAGCCGCGTTCCTCCCCGGGCTGCAATGAACTGGCCTAAGCCTGCCTGGTGGAGAGCGTTCTCCAGCTTCCATTGAGCTCACGGCAGCTCATGGGTGGTTGGAAAGACCCCGACCACCCTGACTGGGCTGTTCCCTTCCCCCAGCCTGGTTAGAAATATCCCCCCCTGCCCTCGGCCGAGACAATTCCACAACCTCCGGGCGCTCAGCCCTACCCATCTATCAGGCATCGCCAGGGCATTATAACCACAGTGGCTGCGCTTCGCACAATTGCTATGGTATTTATCCCCCCAAGGGCAGGAGGGAAACTGAGGCCCAGAGGCACTAAGTGACCTTGGCCAATGGGTCACCCGGGGAGTTAGAGGCAGAGAAAGGGACTGAATGCAGATCCACACCCTTTCTCTCTGAGCCCAACTGTTCGAAATGATCACCTCTGGTGCCCCCCCAGGGCCTGTGGGAGCGCTGGAGAAACCCAGTCCTGGAGCAGGGCCCCGTGGCGCAAGGCGCTGTACAGACACGCAGTGAAGACAGGTTCCCTGATTCAAAGAGTTGATAAGAGACGAGAGAAGGTGGTGGGGAGAGACAGAGCACAAGGAAAGAAGCCGACAAGGCAGGGCACCATGACGGGCCGTGAGCAGCACCAGCTCACCGGCTGCCTATCTGTTGTGGCGCCTTTTGTGGCTATCACGCCAAAAAGCCGTTTGAAGAAGGTGTCTAACTCACTTAGGCACATTTGTAAATCCCCCCCCCAAGTTGCCCCTCTGCATTCCTAAGCACCTAAATGCCTTGGGGGCACCGGAGAGGTGCATTATGGGAGCAAAGCATTGGCCATCCCCCAAAGCAGGGCCTAGTGGGTGGAGAGGGGTGAATCCGGGCCCCTCCATCAAGTGTTGGGGAGAGAACGTGTCTGTCCTCCCCGCCAAGTTAACCCCCCGCTTGGGATCCGGGGGAGCCCCCTGCACTGCGGCCGACACCTCCACTCTGCCCCAGCGTGGTGCTATTGATCCAAACCCTTCAATCCGAGGGGAGGATCAAAACATCTGTAAGCACCCGGAGGGAGGGGAGGAGACGCCTTCCCGGGGGAGGTGGGAAGGGATGGGCGGGGGGGCGGGGGTTGAGGAGTGATGCCTGTCCCGGGAATGGGGACGGGCGGGGGGTTTGCTGCATGCACATGGATGAGGGACAGGGACTCCCACCCCAACGCAGTCGCTTGGGGGCAGCGTGGCTTCCCCATGGGGTGAGCTGGGAACAGGCCTCCCTCCTGCTCAGATCGATGATTTCTCACTCAGCAGCCAGGCTCTGCGGCCCAGGTCACCCCCCTCCTCAGGGCCCCGCTCCCCCCGTCCCTGTGCCCCAGCTGCCAGGGGATCGAGTTCGGCTGCTCACGTCGATTTCAGTCGGAGAGACAGCTGTGCCCGATCAATCCCCCTGGCCTCTAGGCAGGGGGAACAAAGCCACCCAGCCCGGGGAGGAGTGCCTGAAACTGATGGACGGATGGATGGATAGATAGACAGATGTGTATCAGCTGGTGAAGCCGGAGGCTGGCTAACGTGGCAGCCTCGCCCATTTGGGAGGGCCCAATCCAAGATTTAGGAGACCTGAGTTCCAGTCCCGCCACTGACCTGCTGGGTGACCTTGGGCAAGTCACATCCCTTATTTGTGCCTCAGTTTCCCCTCCCACCTTTTGTCTCTTTCGACCGCAAGTACTTCAGTGTGGGGACTGTCTCTCACGATGCGTATGTACAGCGCCGGGCGCAGCAGGGACCCATCTCAATACAGCTACGGGTTGCCCATTGCCCTGAAAAGACAGGGGCCCCCTTCACTGCGGAAAAGGCAGGCCCCACGGGGAAGCACTGGCACAGAGCGACACGACGGGGGCCCTGCAGGGGGCGCTACTCACAAATGGGTCAGCTTGGGGTTGGCGCGGAAAGCATCGGCGGCGATGTACTGCAGCCCGGAGGCGGCGATGGTGCTGGAAGGGAAGAGCAAAAAGACATCGCGAATTTCCAGGTGCTGAGGGCCTGGGCCGAGGTCACGGCAACCTTCGCGCCCGCGGGGTTACGCCAGGGCTGAACTTGGCCCAGCAGATTTTCTTCTGAGCCGCAACCCAACTCCCACCCCCCCACGTCCCTGCAATGCCTTGTCTGCACCATTCCAGTGTGGGTGTGAACGCTCCCCCGCCGGGCCTCCCCTGCCTGGTTCTCTGATTCCCCCAGGCAGCCCAGCACGGATTAGAGCAGCCTTCAGGTTGCTCTAAGTGACACCAAAGTCTGGAAAGTGCAAAGGGGAGAGTTAAAGCTACCTTAAGTCCCCATATCCCTGCCCCAAGGCCCATCCCAGGGGCCCCCTCAGCTGAAGTGGGGTTTGGAAAGGGTGAGAGGCAGTGGAGATTTCATGGGGAGCTCCGTGTACCTCCAGCCCTGTCCTTGATAATGGGGGGCTTTGCCCCCCCATACACCCTTGCATGCCCCCCCATCCCACCCACCCCCAAGCACGTGCAAGGCTGGAGCTACTCACAGGTTCTTCAGCTCCCGCAGGGACTTGGTGTCGGCCTGAGTCAAGCTCGTCACGTCCTTCTGGTTCTCGATGACCCTGCAGGGGAGACACAGCCGAGCGCGGGGCCTGTCAGTCCCCCAGGGCCTTTCTCCTGCCCCGCAAAGCCAGGCTCTCTCCCCGCACTGGGATGAGCGTCAGCCGACTCCAATCCTGCCCTGTCCTGAGGGGGCACCGGGGCTGAGAGAGTGGGGAAGGGGGAGGTTTTAGCGCCTGGCCAAGGAGGCCCGGGGCGATGGGAAGGGAGACGGGGGGTTTGTGGGGCTGTCAAATTCCGAGGGGAGCAAACAACTTCTTAAAGCAAGTTTCTGCTCAGAACAAGGGGGGGCTGTTCCACCGGCTGGAGGGTCTCATCCCTCTTCCCCACCCCCCACTCCGAAGCTCTGTCCCCCCCCTTGCCATTATCCCCAGGGGCAATGGGGCTGTCGCTCACTGGGCAGCCCACGCCAGGGCCATGGGTGCCCGGCGAAAGCCGACATCTCAGGGACTCCTGCACCGGGCGGCCCCATCCCGGAGTCACCGCTGCAAAGAGCCGCTGAGCCCTCACTCTGGGGCGCATCCTGTCTAGTGGCCTACGCAGCCCCCCTGCTTTCATGGCAGCCCCTGGGGCCTTGGGGCAGTGTGGCCTACTGACTAGTGAACACGACTGTGACTTGAGAGACTTCAGTTTGTTCCCAACTCTGCTCCTGGGTGACCTTGGGCAAGTCACTGCCCGCCTCTGTGCCTCGGTTTCCCCACCTGTACAGTGGTGATGATGACCCTGACTTCCTTGCAAAGAACCAGGGATTGTCATTAAAGGGGCAAAATGAATGTATCTGGAGGCAGGGAAGGATCATTAGCCCCACTTTATAGATGGGGAAACTGAGGCACACCACGATTACAGGCCAGATAGACAGGTGCTCTCAGCGCCCATGATCAGGGCTTCATTTCCCAGGGCTCAGTTCCCTTCAGGCCAGATTGTGGGATATCCTGGAGTCGAGATCAGGGCCCTGCACGGGTAGATGCTGCTCAGACACGGGGAAGTGCTCCCCGGCTGGGATGAGTACAGCGGGATTTTCAAGCCGCGCTTTGTGGACAATCACCCCAAGGTCACGCAGGGAGCAGTGTCTGAGCCAGGCCTGGAGCCCGGATCTCCTGAGTCCAAACCTGCGGCTGGATGCACCAGCCAACCCATGGCACGTGGCGGCAGGGCCGGAGAACTCTCGCTTCCGATTAACCCCGAAGTGGCTCCCGTGGGACAGCCGGGGATCAGACCTGGGCTGCTCATGCAAGCCAGAGCCGAAGAGCCCCAGCTGATGCCAGATGCTACGTAAATTTCCCCAGCTCGGTGTAGCCAAGGCTGCGGTCCTGGCCCATAGAACACCCTGCTAGTCCAGCTCCCCCCCACCCCCTGCCCTGCAGGGCTAACGACACCCCTCAACCCTGACCCCTGCAGCTCTGCCGAAGCCCCTCAACCCCGATCTGCAGCCCCCCAGCTGCTCCAGCCTTGGACTCCCCCACGCAGGCCCCTCCACTCAATCCCCTACAGCAAATTCCAGGAGCCCCCTGGCGGCTGCTTTTATTACTGCACCTCCTTGACCTCCCCCCAACTTCCCACTCGTGTTCAGGACCAAAGTGGCCTTGAATTTTGGGGGCGGCTGTTTCTGGGGAGCCCCGTGGGGCCCAATCCGCAGAGGGGCTCAGCTGCAGGGCCTGGCCCCCGTGGGAATCAGCTGGAGACAACTGAGGCAGGAGGCAAACTTATTGACCACTATTGACCCTAGTGACCTCTAGGGGTAGGGGTGGGGATGGGCCCCCCCATGGCAATTTCTAGGGGGTGTCAGGGGGGAAGGGAGGAAAGAGGGTTGATTCGGGAGGGGAAGGAGATGAGTTTCCAACGTATTTTAAGGTCCCGATCCTGTTCCCGTTGAAATTAATGGCCAAGTGTCCAGTTGGGCTCAGAGCACAGACTGCCCCCCCCCATACAGACACACACACCCCGCAGAGTCCACGGGGCATTTCACCAGCTCCGGCCCCGATCCCACAAGCTGCATCCGGCCTGCAGGTAGAGACCCCAGCACAAACCCCCATCACAGACTCATAGAATCCCAGGAGGTCATCTAGTCCACCCCCCTGCTCAAAGCAGGACCGATCCCCATCAAAACCAGACCCCCTACCCCTGGGCCAACCTGCCAGATCCCCCAGCACCTCACCCCACCCCTCACGAAAGCACGTCCCCGCCTCGCGGCGACCCTGCTAGGCGACGGCGGATCAGGCCCGGGCGCGCCTGGCAGGATCGGGGCCCCTTGCACCAGTGATGAAGGGGAAGGGGGGATGCCCAGAGAGTGACCGAGACGGGACAAGGCGATGGATCTCTAGGGGCAGGGTCCCTTTAAGACCGCCGGCCCTAGTCTGGGGAATCCGATTGTGGCTGAGACCCCCCCAAACTCATTGCATGTGGGCACCGATCACTGAGCAGCTCAGACCCCCCTGACCCCCCAGCCGTAGCTGGGTCCTGGACTCAGCGTTACGAGGATGAAAAGAGGGGTTTGCTCCCCAGAGCACCTATCGCTGGCACCGAACCCCCGTCAATCCCATCCCCCGCGACCCGTCAGCCCATGTGCCAGCAATCCGCTTCCCTGCACTGCACCCGGGGCCTGGCAGCCCAGCAACCAGCCAGCCAAACAGCAGCTGGCACGCTGCCGCAAATCCAGCCGCACATCTCGCCTGCAGCGTGGGCTGGGCTCCCCTCCCCAGCTCCAAAAGTCCACGCCTGAGCCGAAGGAGAATCCCCATCAGCTCTTAGCAGTACAGAGACAAGGACACACAGGGGCGCAGTGCTGATTCTAGTGGCGCATGCACAGACAGGCAGACCCCAGCCAGGGCACCGTCACATCAGCACGAGGGCTACCGACTAGTCCTCCCGCCTGTCTGCACCCCACGCCAGCCCCCCACGAATCGAAGGGGCATGGACCAGCAATCGCCACTGCCCCCAGAGGGGTGATGTCAGCCCCCATCGCTCTGCCGGGACCCCTTCCCGATGGCACAGGCCCTGTTCTCCTGTTCCCGCCGAGCGGGCGGGGGCTGAACACACGGGCATGATAAAAGGGGCGCCAGAGGAAGGGGATGGGCAGATTGGCCTGGGGGCAGCGCGGTATCCCCCTGGTGAACCCCACCCCAGGGCTCCGGGTCAGGCCCACAGGCGGAGACACGGTGTAACTTTACGCACGCTACATCCGTGGAACGCAGGGAGCGTCTGAGGGCACCGGCCAGAGCCGGGCCTAATGGGGCAGGGGCCAAGCTCTCGATCCCGACCCGCAGCCCCTCGATCCCGACCCGCAGCCCCCTGCTACCCCAGCCCTGGGCTCCTCCAACTCCCATTTACAAAGCGCAAGGAGCAGAGGCAGAGCAGGAAACTGGGGCTTGACCCACTTTTGGGCGCCACGTATTCTGGGGTCACTCTCACTCTGCTCCTCGTGGCCCCTGGGGGGGGCAGAGAATACCCACAGTGCAGTGCGCTGCAGCCATGGCCCCGATCCACCCCCTCTGCCAGGGATGGGCGGGGGCTGCAGAGCCCTTCTGCCAGGTTCACCCCGGCTGGGGGGCCCCTTGGGCACCGGGGGTGGGGGGGATTCCCAGGGGACTGTTTCCCCCTTCCTTTAAGGGCCCTTGACACTGCCGGAGCAGCCTAGAGAGCCAGGGTGTCACTGAGAACCAGGCCCCCATCCCCAGCTCCTCCCCCACCCCTGAGCTCCCAGCACCCGGCCGCTCCAGACCTAAATTCAGCCGCAGTCCCTACAGCCCGGCTGCGGCAGGGTCGTTAGCGAGGGGCAATGCCCCCCCCCCCCCAGCAGCAGGAGCTGAGAGCCGCGGGGCCTGATTTACAGCCCCGGTTCCCTTTGGCCATCAAGGGGCCTTATTTCATCATTATCACCCGCTCTCCTGCTGCTTGATGTCACCATCTCCACAGCGACCCGTGCGAAGCTCCCGGCATCTGTCCCCAGCCGCGGAGCTCAGCCGTTTCCCCACCGGGGTGGGCCAGAGGGGCTCAGCGTGCCCGGGTCCTATTCCCGAGTGTTCCCCTCCCCGTGCCTCAGTTTCCCCTGCTGTAAAATAGGGGGTTCATGACACAACCTTTCCTGGGCTTTGAGATCGCTGGGTGGAAGCCACTGAAGGCTGTTCCCGGGGCTGGATTCCACTCTCCCCAGGGAGCTTTGCCTTCCAGAGCGACTCTCGTTACTGACTCGTGATTTCCCGACGCGTTTCCCCCGCACCCCGAGTCAGGGGACGTCGCGTGGTTACAAAAACCGCTCCCCGCCCCGCTCCCTGCAAAGAGTGGCTGGGCGTCGCCTGGGTCCCACACACGGCCGGGGGCGGCGAAGGAAGACGAGACCCGGAGAGCGGGAGACCTGCGGGGGTTTTGCCCTTGGGACCTTGCTCTGATCGAAACAATCTAAATCCTGCAATCGCGGCCTTAGCCGTCTCGCCGAGCGGGACGGGAAACTACTGCCCCAGAGAGCCTGGCCCAGGGATCCGAGGGAGGGGAGAATCTCTCGTGTCTGGCACATCTGGGAGACGAAGCAAGAGAAACATTTTCAAAACCTCTGACGACTGTCCCCCTTTCCGGGGGCTGACCGGTCTCACGGACCGCCAGGTTTCACCCCACTTAAAAACGACTTGCTTACAAAACCAGTCCTAAAAATACAGCCGTGTGACAGCTCCCTGTGACTGACCAATTGCTGATGTTCTCCTTTTTACCATCTAACTGTAAGAGAAATCAATTGGAGTATAAATATTGTACTTGCGTTTCAGGGTATAATACACAGAGCAGGCTAAACAAGGCATTGTCTGTATGACATTTTAGCTGGCACTGACTTCGCTAGGGCTTTTTCGGTAGCCTGTTGTAAAACTAGGCAAATATCTAGAGGAGCTGATGTACCCCGGAAGACCCCTGCGTACCCCCGGGGTACGTGTACCCCTGGCTGAGAACCACTGGTGTAGACATAGCTTTGAAGATCCAGCCCTTTGGAACACATCCGAAGTCCCTTAGCGAAGGTGCCGCTCGCATCGCCGTACAATTCGCGTTTGTTATGATGGGAATTTGTTTCTGATCGATACATGACCCATAAAAGGATCGAGGTCTAGTCTGACCTCTGACCACCCAATGGTCAGAACTTAAATGCCCTTCCACCGCCCCAGCCCTTGCTCGCCCCACTCCCATATCACACCGCAGCTGATCGGCCCGGGCCTCACTAAACCTTCCCTCAGCTGGCGTCCAAAGTGCCCCATCGCTGGCACTGCCAGGAACTGCCGCCCACCCCAGCAGCGGGGAAATCTCTCCGCCGTGCAGTGCCCAGCTCTGGCTTAGCGGCTAGCACGGGGAGAGGCCGCTTGATTTCTGTGGGGGCTTCTTCCCAAGGGCTTAAATTGAAGCAGGCGCTTAAGTGCTTTGCCGGATGGGGACCGGGGCCCTCCGCCCTTTGCAGGAGCAGGGCTGGAGCACAGGCCAGGATCAGAGCCAGACGGGACCACCCGGGGAGCGCTGGGGGGCGGGAGGGTCCGCCACGAATGAGCAGGGACGGCTGGGGGAGACTCCCTGGCCTGGAGGTCGCATGGACCCTTCTAGGAGAAGCCAGAACTGGGGGGAGCGGGATGTCGGGGGGGGGGATTGCAGGCAGGACTCCCCCCCTGAAACCGACCCCCAGTGGCACGGCGGGGCCCCAGGAGCGCCTCTTTGTGGAGGGGAACACAAAGGAAATGCCCAGAGAGTCACCGGCTGCAAACTAGGTGGTGCTCCACAAACCCCCAGCACAGCCCCGGGGAGCCAGGCAGCCTCGCCCCGGCCGCACGGGCACATGGCATCGCAGGCCCAACTGCTGACATACGCCCCCCCTGTGGCGGGATCGGACAAGGCGCAGATAAATGCAGGGTCCACGGCTCTCCTGGGGGCTGGAAGAGCTCAGCTGGGGGGGGGGGGTGGGTAGAGCCGCCCCGGGGGGTATGGATGCATTGGCCGAATGCCCATGGATGTGCACAAGCAGGGTGAATACCAGGGCCAGAGAACTGGAAACAAACCCACATGTTCTCCGTGCGCCACCGTGGAACAAACTCGTGTCCCAGCATCTCCCGGCCACAGTGAGTTTGGCGGGTCCTCGTCCAACTCCCCGCCCCAAAGCTGCCCTCTGCCCCCCGCCCGTCAGCACCCAATGCAGACGTTAACCCATTCACACCAGCAGCGCCCCCCCTCCAGCGAGGGGCAGCATCCTGCCCAACATTCAGACTGGGAAACTGAGGCAGGAGAAGGGCAGGACCTTCTGCAAGGCCCCACAGCGGCCAGGCTGCCAGCACCACCCGGCTCTTTCGACGTCTCGTCGTGGGCTTTAAGCACAAGGGAATTCTGCCTCCCGCCTCATCCCATGCTGCTCAGGACAACCTGAGAGCAACCTCGGCAGAGCCACCGTGTAGACAGAGCACCGGGGCTGCCTGCCAGGCCCTGCGGCAAATGCCCGGCGTGGGAGGGTCTGGCCGCCCCGCTCCTCAGTGCACCAGGCTGGTCGGTGCTAAGGGGGTTTGGCCCCAAAGCCAGGAATCCCGCCAGATACAGCAGCAGGGGCCTAAAACAAGGGCTGCCCGGGTCCTCAGCAGGTCGCAGGGACTGGCCGTGGCTGGGGCCCTGGCCCCCCGACTCCCCTGGAGCAAGACCCATTTACACCCCATGGCGTATCACAGAGACAGTCGGTGTCTGGAGCCCACAGGATCACCCAGCAGGGCAGCCTCCCCCCCCCCCCCCACTTCACAAGCAGGGACCAGAGGGGCGGGGAGGGAAGCGGCCCGAGATGACACAGCGAGGGAGGTTCAGAGCCGGGAACTGAACCCAGGAGTCCTGCTGCCTCGTCGTCTACACTAACCCCCAGCCCCCACTCCTTCCTCGCTCCAGGAATGGAGCCCAAGCCTCCCGACGCCCTCCTGTGACTAGACCCTGCTCCCCTCCCAGAGCCAGGGACAGGACCCAGGAGTCCTGACTCCCAGTCCCCCCCCCCAACCCGCTAGACCCTGCTCCCCTCCCAGAGCCAGGGACAGGACCCAGGAGTCCTGACTCCCAGACCCCCCACACACACGCACACACCC